GAAACTCAGACAAAAACAGGAGTAGCTATTCTTGTTGCAGACAAAGTGAATTTGAAGCCAAAACTGATTAAGAGAGATAAAGAAGGTCAGTACATCCTTATTAAGGGAACAATCCAAGAGGAAGAGATAACAATCATAAATATATATGAAACAAATACCACTGCACCCAGCTATATAAAACAAATATTAATGGGCATTAAGAATCAAATAAGCACTAATACAATTGTATTTGGGGATTTTAATACCCCACTGTCACAAAAAGATCAACTAGACAAAACAATCAACAAAGTAATAATAGAACTGAATCAAAGTTTTGAATAAATGGACTCAGTAGATGTCTATAGAGTGTTCCACCCCACAGCATCAGAATATGCATTTTTCTCAGCTGCACATGGGACTTTTTCCAAAATAGACCACATACTAACCCATAGAACATGCTTAAGTAAATGCAAAGGAACTGAAATTATCCCATGCATATTATCCAACCATAGTGCAATGAAATTGGAAATCAATGGCAAAATAAACCACAAGAACTTCATAAACATATGGAAATTAAATAGCACCCTCTTGAAAAACCAATGGATAACAGATGAAATTAAAGAAGAAATTAGACAGTTTCTACAATTAAATAACACAAAAATACAACGTACCAGAACTTATGGGACACACTGAAAGCAGTGTTAAGAGGGAAATTTATAGCAGTGAAGACCCATATCAGGAAAATAAAATAAGCACAAATAAGCAACTTACTGTTGAACCTCAAAGCTCTAGAAAAAGAACAGACTAAGCCAAAGGCTCATACAAGAGTTATAAAGATCAGAGCAGAAATCAAAACAATAGAGACTAAAAAGAACAAAAAATCAGTGAATCAAAGAGTTGGTTCTTTGAAAGATTAAATAAAATAAACAAACCCTTATCTAATCTTATCAAAAAAAGAAATAAAAGACTCAAATCCACACAATTAAGAATGAAAAGGGATTTCTGCAAGGTCCATTATCACTTCACCCTTCTTGATGATTTGCTTCACTCTATTCACCTTATTGAGTATCTTATTGAGGATTTTGGCATCTATGTTCATTAGCGAGATTGGCCTGTAGTTCTCTTTCTTGGTTGGGTCCTTCTCTGGTTTTGGTATCAGGGTAATGCTTGCTTCCAGGAATGACTTTGGGGATATTGCCTCTCTTTCTATTTTATTAAAGAATTTGAGCAGTACTGGTGTTAAGTCTTGTCTAAATTTCTTATAGAATTCAGCAATGAATCCATCAGAGCCTGGGCTTTTCTTTTCTTGTAGGTTTTTAATTACATCTTTGATTTCACTGATTAATATTGTTTTATTTAGGATTTTTATATCTTCTTGATTTAACTTTGGTAATTTGTATGAATCTAGGAATCTGCCCATTTCTTCTGCATTTTGTGTCTTATTAGAATACAATACATTTCACCCCTACTTCCCAAACTCTTTAATGAAACTAATAGGGAAGCAATACTCCCAAATTCATTCCTGGAAGCAAGCATTACTCTGATACCAAAACTGGTAGAGGACGCAACTAAGAAAGATAACTACAGGCCAGTCTCCCTAATAAGATACTAGCAAAGAGAATGGAACAAATCATCAAGAAGATTACACATCATGACCAAGTGGAATTCATACCAGGGATGCAAGGATGGGTCAACGTATGTAAATCAATAAGTGTAATACATCACATAAGTAGAACGAAGGACAGAAATCATATGGTTATCTCAATAACCATATGAAAAGTCTCTATAGATGCTTAGACAAAGTCCAGCATCCATTCATGATAAAAACCTTACAGAAAAATGGAATAGATGGTCTTTATCTCAATCTGCTAAAAGCCATCTTTGAAAAACCAACAGCCAACATCATACTAAATGGACAAAAACTGAAAGCTTTCACTCTAATATCAGAAACAAGACAAGGATGTCTACTATCTCCACTCTTACTCAACATAGTCCTGGAAACTAGCCAGAGTAATTAGACAAGAGAAAAAAATAAAAGGAATAATGATAGGAAAGGAAAAAGTGAAATTATCACTCTTTGCAGATGACACAATACTCTACATAGAAACCAAAAAAAATTCCACTTAAAAAAATGCTAGATTTAATAAGCAAATTCAGTAGTGTAGCTGGATACAAGGTCAACACTTAAAAATCAATAGCCTTCCTATAAACAAATAAAAAACTCACTGACAGCAAAATTAGGGAAACAACACCTTTTACAATAGCATCCAAAAAAGTGAAATACCTAGGGATCAATCTAAGAAAGGATGTAAAAGACCTCTATGTTGAAAACTACAGTACTCTGAAAAAGGAGACTGAAGCAGATATCAGAAAATGGAAATGTATCCCTTGCTTATGAGTAGGAAGAACCAATACACTAAAAATGTCCATACTTCCAAAACTGTTGTACAGATTTAATGCAATTCCAATCAAAATTCCAACAGCATTTCTCTTCAGAATCACAGAAAACAATCCTAAAATTGATTTAGAACCGGAAGAGACCTAGAAAAACTGAGGCAATTCTGGGCAACAAAGGCAAGGAAGGGGGCATCACAATCCCTGACTTGAAATTATACTATAAAGCTACTGTGATAAAAACAGCATGGTACTGGGGGAAAAAAAACAGACCCAAAGATCAATGGAACAGACTAGAAGATGTAGAAATAAGTCCAGACATATTCAACCGCCTTATATTTGACAAAGGGGCCAAACACATACACTGGAAGAAAGATAGCCTCTTTAATAAATGGTGCTCGAAAAAATGGTTTTGCACATGTTAAAAACTACAATTAGACCCATATCTTTCACCATGCACTAAACTAAACTCAAAATGGATCAAAGATCTAAATATTAAAGCAGAAACTCTGAATCTACTGGAAGAGAAAGTAGGTAGAAATCTTGAAGACATTGGTGTAGGCAAAGACTTTATGAATTAAACCCCAATCGCACAGGAACTATCACAAAGAATTAACAATTGGGATCTCATCTTATTAAAAAGTTTTTGCACAGCAAGAAAAACCACTAACAGAGAGAAGGGACAACCCACAGTGTGGGAGAAAATGCTTACCAGATGTTCCTCAGACAAAGGATTATTATGGAGAATGTATAAAGAACTAAAAAACTCAGACCTCCCAAATTTAAAGACTGAATCCAAAAATGGGCATCTGAGATGAATACACACTTTTCTGATGAAGCAATACAAACAACAAATAAATATATGAAAAAAGATTCAACATCATTGGTCATTCAAGAGATGCAAATTAAAACAACACTGAGATCCCATCTCACCCCCAAAGAATGGCTATTATAAAGAACTCAGCCAATAACAAATGCTGGAGGGGCTGTTGGTAGGAGTGTAGACTGGTACAACCACTGTAGAAATCAGTGTGGAGATTCCTCAAAAAACTAGGATTGGAGGTCCCATTTGATCCAGCTATTCCTACCTCGGTATCTTCCCAAAAACATTAAAAACATTGGACCACAGCAATATATGTGCACCATGTTTACAGCAGCACAATTTGTAATAACTAGATCTTGGAAACAACTCAAATGCCCATCAACTGTGGAATGGATATAAAATATGTGGTCTTTTTATATAATGGGGTATTACTCAGCCATAAAGAAGAATAAACTGGGGACTTATAGGTAAATGGATGCAACTTGAGACCATACTCATAAGAGAAATAAACGAGATACAAACAAGATATAAATGGGTGAACATTGTATTATCTCCCTAGTGTGAGAAGCTGAAAGAGTAAATGTAATCCAAAATGTACAACAGGTATTGTAAAATGGGAAGAAACTTCAAAAGGAAAGAGAAACTGGTTTAGGGGAATGGGAAAATGAAGGAAGGGAAAAGAAACAAGAAAAAATATATATGTATATATAAAAAATAGTTAAGATACGTATGCTGCTAATTTATCTCAGTCCTCTGAAAAGATAGGTTTGTGCTGATATTGTCTAGACAATTAAATGCTGATGTCTTGTATTCTGAGTAACTAATTTAAAGATAATAATGCACAGTGTGGCAGTGTGTTGACCATTGTTACCCTCCTACTATAATGTTTTTGAAGTCTGTTCTTAGGTTTATGTGTTTATTGCATTTTTGTTTCTTTTTTCTTAAAAAAAGAAGACAATTTTATAAGGATAAAGGGGTCAATTTACCACTGGGACATAAATCTAAAGCACATACGTACCCAATAATCAAGCTTCAAAATATATGAAGCAGAAACTGATAGAGACAACAAGGAGAAAGAGACAAAACCAATCAAACAGAAAATCAGTAAAGGTATGTAAGCTTTAATCAACACAATAAATCAACAAAACCTAGTTGACATTTATACAGCATTCCATCCAACATCAGCCAATAATAGTTTTTTTATAGGCACACAGAACATTTACTAAGATACACCAAATTTTATGTTATAAAACAATTTTCAAAGGAATCAAGTTTACAAAATGTATTCTCTGAACACAATAGAATAAATTAGAAATCAGGAACAAAAGATCTTGGGATGATTCTCAAAATATTTGAAAAATGAAATAACACATATAGAAAACATTCCATGAGCCAAAGACTAAACCAAAAAAGCAAGTCAGAAAGAATTTTGAATCGAAGGAAGAATGAAACTAGAATGTTGAGTGTTAATATTTTCAGCTAGGCCTACAATGGTTTGTTATTGTTTTGTATACATTTGAGAATCTTCACCAGAAGCTAAAAAATAAAACAAAAAAGTTAAAAAAGAATGTTGTATTGGAACATATTTTCAAATCCATGAATATCAAATCTATTCTTTCTAAATTAAACCACCATTGGAAAGCATTTGTGAAAATCAACTGCATTTGATTTTCTTGCTCTCCATTACAAAAAGTCACTATGTCCCTCTATCATCTAACAAGATCTAGGAAATTTCAAAAAGAAAGATTACAATACCCTGACAAACAAAGGCAGTTCAGTAAACAAAAAGAAAATATTTACTTACCTTGAACTTTGCTTTTGAATATGCAACAGCCATTCTTTCCTCCTCTGGGCTCTACTCTCAGAAAAAGAAAATGAAAACGACGTAACTAAGCCTTTCTTGGGGTATACTTTTAATTAGAACACAAACTTTTCCTTCATCCCCATAATATACCTCTCATTTAACATAAGCAAAGTCAGGAGACTAGTACAGTCCTATACCTTCTCTAATTAGAAAGGGCCATGGTCAGGCTGCCTTGAGATAAATTTTATTTTTGGATTCAAAGCTGTCCACTGGAGACAGAGCTCTGCAGTGCAGTGTTACAGGTTCTACAGAGTGTGATTGGCTCCCTACAGCATTCCCTTTCCAAGTAGTATATTCCTTCTACTGGAACCCATTACATTTCCAAGTAGCCTGTCTTGAAGGTGCTATCAGCTCTAAAATTCTCAAGATCTGTTTTGTGGCTTGGAAATAACTCCTTTTCTTCGCTCAGAGGCTTAAATTTCTGACTTACTTCCTGCCACTTCTTTGCATTCAGTTCCTTTAAGGCTGTAAGGTAACAGCACTGGGAAGCAGCAACAATTCTACAATTCTAAAGTGAACTGAGGATGTATACAGAAATGAAGCAGTACGGGCCATGTGTGAATGGTCAAAACAGAAGTCTGGCCCTAAAGATCTCAAACATAAAAGCACAAAGGATCCATGATCCATAGAAAGACCCAGCCTCATAATGAATCCTTGGAAATACCAAACAAAATTTTACCTCTGTACCACAATAAATTCCATAAGACCACAGAATATAAAGTATATAAATTCCACACGAAGTCAAACAAACTCACATATCCACAGTTAGCCAGAGTCATAACCATCAGTTAGGTTACCGTTGAGAGCACCTAGTCACAAATAAATCCAATTGTACACAGGGAATAAACAAACACATCCAAGCAGCTTGCTGAGGACACACATAACTCCCCGCAAACACCCTTTCACAGCGACGCTTTTACTCTCTTCATAGATTCGTGAAAACGGCACAAATAATATCACAGTTACACACATGGCTCACCCCTATAATCAGTCACCCAGCTAGAAAAACACAAGGAAACGAACAGTCACAACCTGTCTCAACAGCCACACGTCAACTTCACAAGCAAACCCGTTCTATACAGAATACCATGTACATACACAACTTCAAAGTGACATAAACACATGCAAACACCCTGTCACAACAGACCTCTCGCCCGTCAGTCACAAACCTCCGTCAAACACGTGGAACCCACACAATCATAGAAATAAGCCTATTTCCTGTCAAATAAGTACACGGTCACAAACACCCTCAGAGTCACAAACAACTCACCCACCAATCACCGTCCCACACACCCGGTTGAGCACACAGTCACCCACGTCAGGCAGGCTCCAGCTCTCACACAAAACCGCAGGAGACAGCGGCGCACACTCCCAGGAGTCTCCCTCCGCGCGTTTCCGCCCTGACAGTCCCCACACTCTTACTTCAACAGAAGCGCAGCTGAGTGCGCAGGATCTGCCGCTCGGGTTCCGAGCCTGACTTCGGGTTCACCCGCCCAAAGGGTAGCGAACAAGCTACTCCACAGAACCGGGCCCTCTCCCAACGCGAAGACCCCAACTCTCGCGAAAAAACGGAAATGAAGCGGTATCCCGGACGTGGTGCCTCTGGGAAATGTAGTCCAATCCAGGAAGAGAGGTTAGCTGATATACCAGGAAACTAGCAGGCGCGGTACATTCACCCTCTGTCATGTTCGTGGACTCGGCCACGCGAACCATTGGCCAGTAGTGCCGCGCCGCGGGGGCTACTGGGAGTTTCTGCCGACCCCTGCGCGCATGTGTTGGGCGCTCAGTTCGAAAGGCTGGGACCTGAGGAAGGATGCGCGAGGTCCGTTCCTAGGCAGGTGTAGTGAAAGAGTCGGATCTGCGAACCTCAGATTTACCTGGGACCTTCTATGTGCCTCGCCAGATCCTGGGGTGTATGTGTGTATGTGTATGATCACCATGTGTCAGGAGGACTGGAAGTCTCTCAGTGGCCGAGTGCATGTTGTATTTCTGCCTGTGTAATTTTTCGTGCTGTTGGATGTGAGGTGACTCGCGCTTGGAGCTGCTTGATAATGGGACTGTATAAAGAAGCCAGGCGTGGTGGTGAGGGGTTGTAATCCTGGCATTCTGGGAGGCTGAGACAGTAGGATGTCAAATTCAAGCCCAGCCTGGGCTAATTAGCGAGACTGCCTCAAAACAAAAGGCAGTAACATAGCTGAAGTCCCTAGATTCAATCCCGGGGGAAGAAGTGGGAAGCGGGGAGTAGAAATAACTATGGATTGGATTGTCTGGCAGTAAGAAACCTCTGCTGTAGTGGTTTGTTTATGAAGGGTCTACGTAGTTTTGGTTTTATGTCCATAATTGGGTAGCCGGTGGTGATGGTTTCTGTTATATATAAATGCGCTTTTCTTGTGCTTGTATTTTAGGTTGTCTGTACGAATTCAACTGGCGAATGAGACTGTGTGTCATTGAAAAAACGATGGACACGTTATTTCTTACTTGAATGCTAATTTGATAATTTGAGAAAAGTAATCTGTTTATCAAAAAAGTACTTGAGATCTGATTTTTCTAGTAAGCAAGTATATGTTCTTTTTTTTTTAATTTTAAAGAGAGTACTAAATGAGAAACAAACAAAAAAAAAATAGAACAGTAGCAGCATACCAGTATCACGAACATAAACAAATCAAAGCAAGAACATTCAAAGTGATACAGGGTCTCAAGACAAAATAATACGAATCAAGAGTGGTTGTTACATTACATATGGCTATCCTCAATTACATTGCTCAGATTACCAGCTGTAAGAATGAAAGATTGCTCAAACCATTAAAGAGGATAAGAAATTAATTCTTTGATAAAACATTAGAGATAATACAGAGTTTCACTAAACAAGATGGTAGGAGTTCACCATTGTAATTCCATTGCATATTGTTACCTTCAAATCAGTTGCTCAGACCACCAGACACAAGCATGCAAGGTCGATCAGAACATATACAATTGTAAGCATTATCTGTTCATTTCAATACACCATCAGACATCAGCAAGACAGTCATCGTAGCTATTCATATATATATATATATATATATATATATTTATTTATATTTTGCCTTCTTTCTCTTTTCTTTTTTCCCTCATCCCAGTAGTTCCTTCCTTTGAGCAATTTCTTTCTCTTTCCTATCATCTATTGTACGTTTTGAGTTTTACCTAGTCTTTCAGGTTCGTACACCAAGGAGACAATATGATGTTTACACATATGGGTGCGATTTATTTCACTTATGAGTATGGTCTCTAGTTGCATCCATTTACCTACAAAAGAAGTATATGTTCTATGATGAACAATGAAAAGCTTTTTTTTTCAAAGAAAGGTTATTTCAAAGCCAACCCTAGGGCAACTGCTTTTTCCTCACTGTTTTCTATTATGGAGGGGACGCTACTGGGTAAATTTGGGGTTCCTGGGATCACCAGATTAATGTAGGAAGTTTCTTGGACAAGTACATCAGGCTGCGGGATGCCCTAGGCATTGTCCCAGGACCCAACTTAGGGGTGGGCACCATCCTGTGCAACTACATCCACATGCAAAAGCTGGCAGATCCTGTCACCCCAGTGGAGACTATCCTGCAGCACTGCAGCCTGGAGGAGATTTCCAACTATTATGGTGTATCTGAGTTCCAGACCACTGAGCACTTTCTAACCACAGTGGCCCACTGCTTGGGGAAAAGAACAGGAGGATTATCCAGGCAGGAGTAGGCCACCAAAGTTGTCCTGGCTGACTGGGTGAGTGGGAAAATTAGCTTCTATACAACACAACCACTCATCACACTATACCTACCCCTCTCGTTGCTGAAATTATTAAAGAGGTGACTGGGATCTCTGTTATTAAGGATACCAATGAGGTCAATGAAGATACTACAGAATGCTTAGCCACAGAAAAATATGATGAGCTGTCAAGTAACACAGATACCCTTAAAATGGTAGGCAGAAGACAGAAAATCAAGTTACAAGCAATGAGCGACAAGCAACAACCACAGCAGTTCTTTCTGTCCTTTAAATCTTATCCAGGTTAAGGCAGGTAGCACTCACACCCTTAATCCTAACATTGCACCATGTATCAATCCCAGCCTCCCTAATTCTTGATCCTAGCATTGCACACCCTATATCCAGCCACCTCCAAAAAGCCACACCTATGACCACATAAGGCTTTGGTGGGACATCTAGACACGAGCCATAACATAGGTCAAAACCCTCAAACAGGACTGGGGGTCCTGTTAGAATTCCTGCCCCCACATGAAGCAAGAACCAAAATAAAAAGAACAAATAAATACTTTCTTGGAATTAGAAGGAGGATTAGAAGGCAGTTAAAAAGCAGAGCCCAGGGAAACCATGGAAATGGACAGAACCAGGAGGCTCTGGATGAGATAGTCCAGGAAATGTCAGGATAATGAAAGCAAATGCTCACATATCGTATAGAAAAGAACATGCTTCAGAAAGAAGAGGATAATTCTCCATAGCTGGGCCATGGCTTTCTATCTAGCAGAAGATAACCAGTCTCCTTAGGAGTCACAGAGTCAAGGCAAGGCTGATGGCATCATGCTAACCTCAGTTACTGTAACTAGCTGATTCAAATTGCCCCCCAGTGTCCTGCTCCTACCCTGGCCACTTAGCCTATGTACAAGCTCTACCCCTCACACCTTAACAAGGGTAGGCTGGAGAATGCACAGATCCCCCTCCTTCATTTAGCTTGAGCTGTCATTTTGTAGCTGTACAGGTTGGGGTATGCAGCTGGACCTGCTTGTACATGGGAACAAGAAACTCCCTCTTTGCTCCTCCTCCATTCTCTTGGGGTTTTTTTGTTTTTTTGTTTGTTTTTGTTTTTTTCCGGTACCGGGAATCGAACTCATGACCTCATGCTTGCCAGGCAGGCTCTGTGCCGCTGAGCTAAATCCCCAGCCCCCTCCTCCATTCTCTTGAACTGTCCAATGTTTTTCCAGGAAATGATAAATTCAAAAAGAACAAAATGATCTATTGTGATAAAAGACTCTCTTAAGCTTATCTCCTGGCCTCCAAATTACTCCTCTAAGGTATTTTGAATGTGATTTCCCCAGAAAAGAACTCTGTCCTCCCCACTGCATTCCTCTGAGCTGAAAGACAAGCAAAGAAACTAGGGTAGATCCCACTCAATCTCATCCTTATGGAATAGGATAATTTCCTATTCCAATGTTTTTGAGATAACTCTGTGAAAGCAATATACTGTAATGAAAGGTATACTACACAAAAGATTTGGGTTCTCAATAAATTACTGGGAAAGTATCAATAAATTATTAGGTTAGTCAGAGAAATATATAATTAGTGTGCTTGCTGTAAAATGGGAAGTAAGATTACATTCATTTACAGATAAAGTTATATAAAAAAATCTAGACTTCCTTTCTTTTGGGAGATTTTGAGTGACCTTCCTAAAATGTTATGGAGTTGATTTCAGCTATTAATTAAAGTATATGAAAAAATACAAATTTTAACAGGCCAAGTCATTTATCAAAATTTAGCACACTAAGACATTCTCTGTAGATATAGGTGGACACAAAAATATTCTAACACATAAAACTGCTACTCAAAGGAGAGAGCTAATCTGTAGCACTGATACCTAACAAAACAATACAGACATTCCTAGTTGAATGACTGAGTTCCATTCCTGCAACGAGGCTATCAAACAAATGGTTGCTAAGTGCTATGTACAGTACTCAGAACAAAGAAATGGTCAAGGGAAACTCCAACTTGATAGCTTTGCTAAATTTTATTTGCCTTACTGCCTTATATGCAGTACTATAATGTATAACAACATAAAATTACAGTACTGTACAGTACAATTAGCAAAAATTACAGCATTGTATAAATAAGGTGTACTGTACAAAAAAGATACTGAGGTTCTATTAACAAGATGTACAGAACTGTACAAAAAAAGATGAGCTGTAAGTCTGAGCAACAGATCCAAGACAGAACAATATGCCTCAGTCTTCAGTTCAAACAGTGTTAAACAGGGAGATTGTTAACCAAGGAACATCTGTAATAAACAATGATTACTGGAACAATAAGTTATAATGCCTCAAAACATATTCTTGGTGAGAAATGAGACAATACTGTATACACTATTTATGTTGCAACAAGCTATCATAAAGAGGAAACTGAAAACCACTACAGAAACTTTGAAGATGCACAATATAATTCTTGCCAGGGGAGGAAAAAGTAGCATAATAGTTGTTGAAGTAGTCTATCTGAAGTATGCTAAAGTAGTCTATCTGAAGTATGACTCACAATATGGTCACAGAATTCTGAGAAAAAGTCAAATACACGACATACAAGAAAAAAAGAAAACATATCCTGCTAGCTAAAATACGTCTAAAACATATTCCAACATGAAGAACAGATGGAGAAGAGAAAGGTAACCCTTTTTTTAAAAAGTAGAAGAAAATCGCTTTTAAAAAGACAGTCTTTCAGGATGTGGTGGTACACACCTGTAATCCCAGCACTCTGGGAGGCTGAGGATTCAAATTTGAGCCCAGCCTGGGTAATTCAGTGAGTTAGTGAGACCCAAAAAG